GGTCAGGAAGGGGTGGTCCTCCCGGAACTCCCTGCCCAGGTGGGGGTGGGGGGAACGACAACTGCCCTCTTGGGCGCACATGGTCCATGGTGGAGTGGTGGCCGGGCTGGCCCGGCCCCCATGACATCATGGGGGGGGCAGGTCCAGTGCGTGTCCGGCGCTGGCCCCTGCATCTGTGGGTGTGGCTGGACTGCCCGCGTGATGGGGGATCTGTCCCCACATGGGATTGTCTGTGTGTCTGGAAAACCAGAGCAGTGCTCTTGTCTCGGCAACTCGAGCGTGTGTGTCATTTCCATCATTAAAACACAAATCGCATTAACAGGAAGTCCGGCTTTCCAGCTCCAGTTGAGTTTGGAGGTGGCTGTGTTCAGGAGGGGTCTGGGCTCCCGCTCATGGCCCTGTCTGCCTTTTGTCTTGCCAGACACCGATGGGGTTCCCGATGGGGAAGTCGATGCTGGTGCTTCTCACCTTCTTGGCCTTTGCCTCGTGCTGCATTGCTGCTTACCGCCCCAGTGAGACCTTGTGTGGCGGGGAGCTGGTGGACACCCTGCAGTTTGTCTGTGGTGACCGCGGCTTCTACTTCAGTAAGTAGCTCCTGAGGGGGAACGGAGGGTGCCCAGCCCGGGACTGAGCAGGGATGGGGTGTGGGGGGCACTCCAGGGTCAGCCATTTGTCCCCTTTCACGAGGAGGCCGGGCCTCGCTTGCCCTGTGTGTTCACAAGGCCTCTTCTCTGGGTCTGAGCTGCTAGTGGAGATGGTAGGGGGTGGCAGGGGTGTGGGGGGGAGCTCCCAGCTACCAAGCCGTACACCTTTCTCCATTTCTGGCCATTTTGAAAAGGGGCCCAGGGGAGCAGACTCGGGCCTCACATCCTGCTCTGACTATATTGCTCACTCTTCCCCTTGGTTTTCCAGCTGGGGAGCTGGGCCTGGGCACTCTGCTGGAAGCAGAGGGCAGCTGGGGACCCCTGGACCTGCGGTGGGCCACGGACCACCCTGTCTCCCCACTTGGCTCTCTCTACACAGCCTCCTCTCTGCCTCTGCTTAGCACCTGTGAAGTGCTCACAGGGGGTTCTTGCATTTCAAACCTTCTCTCTGCAAAGGACTCTGCTCCTGGGCGCTCTGAAGCTCCTCCCGCCTGGCCTCTCCGGTGCCCTCCCTGCGCCTGCCTGCCTGGCCTGGGCGGCTGGGGAACTTCAGGGTCTGTCCTCGCTCAGGAAGTCCCTCCTGAGCACCAAGCATCAGGTTTTCCCGAGAGGAGGGCAGGGCTGAGCCCACTTGTGGCAGCTCCCTCTCCTTGCCCCCCCCATGGTGCTTGTCCTTTGGAGCCCCAAGAAGCCCCCAGCAAGCCTTGGAGCTGAGTGCTGTCGTGGGGGAGAGGGGGAAGGCGGGAGAAGAGAAGAGAGTGGTTTATGGGCTCCTCACTCCTCCCCTCCCGTCTTGTTCTCTCCTGCCCAGTCCCCCCCCCATCTCTCTCTCTCAATCTCTCTCTCTTTCAGTGCAGTGGGTGGGGGGGGGTAGTCCAGGGACCACACCTCACCTGTTTTCCAAACCATCGGAGAGGTGGGGCCATTGCAGAAAGGTTCTAGGCCGGTGGGAGGCACTGGAGGCCAGGGGCTGGACCTGCAGCCAGTCTGCCTTCATCAGCCCTATACCGGCGGGGTGATCCGTGTTTGGCCAGGACCTAGGCTGAGGGCAGGGGCCAGACTTTGCCCTCCACAGCCTTGGGGGGGGCTGGAGGGCATGGCCGTGGGTACTGACTGTCTGGTGGGGCTCCAGGCAGGCCTGCAAGCCGTGCCAACCGGCGCAGCCGTGGCATTGTCGAGGAGTGCTGCTTCCGCAGCTGTGACCTGGCCCTCCTGGAGACCTACTGCGCCACCCCCGCCAAGTCTGAGAGGGACGTGTCGATCTCTCCGACCGTGCTTCCGGTGAGACTGGGGGCCCTCTGCTCACCTTCACCCAGCAGCCGGGATGGGGCACAGACAGGGTGTGGGTTGGGGGCGGGGGGTGTCTCCGTGTCAGCTGACGCACAGTGGGTGACTGGCCATTTCTTCGCAGGACAACCCTGAATACCCCGTGGGCAAGTTTTTCCAACGTAACACCTGGAAGCCATCCACCCAGCGCCTGCGCAGAGGCCTGCCTGCCCTCCTGCGTGCTCGCCGGGGGCGCGCACTCGCCAAGGAGCTCCAAGCGTTCAGAGAGGCCAAGCGTCACCTTCCCCCATCGTCCAAAGGCCCTGCCCACGGGGACTCCTCTCCGGAGATGCCCAACAACCAGATGTGAGCCAAATTGTCGTAACTCTGCTGCGCCGCGCCACCGCCTGTGACCCTCTCCTGACCAGGGACGGCTCCATCTTGTCCCACCTCTGAGATCTCTCTGTTCCATTTCTGCTCCATGGGCTTCTTCCACCTGCCCTCCTGCCCCGCCTCCCGTCAGGCTACTCTGCCCCACTCCATCGGGCTGGAACCACAGTAACATCTTCAAGACCTAATTCGATTGGCTTTAAAACGTCCCTAAAATGCCCCCGAAATTGCCCCCAGTTGAATCTGCATATCAAAAACTCAATAACCAACCCCCCAATCTCACGCATAGTCCCCTTAAAACTAATTGGCATTTTAGAAACACCACAAAGGCTAATTAGCAATTTTTAAAAAAATCTTAAAAAAAATCAATTGGCTGAAAAAAATACTTAAAAAATTGGCTTAGAAACAATTGGCAAAGTAAAGGAATTTGGCATGCCCCCCCCTTCCTCTCTGCCCCTTTGGACCTTGAGTCAAATTGGCTTAGACTTGGGTCTCTGAACCTAAGAGCAAGGAAGGGGACCAAAATGTCCAGTGGGCATGTGCTTGCTTCTGTGCTGTCTCCCCGGTGTGTCGCTCGAGTGCCAGCTAGCTGTTAGACAGCAGAGCCACCCAAACTCATTCTTCACTGTTAACACACCACAGCGGGTGGAGGTCCAGCGAGACCATGGCAGGGGACAGAGCGTGAACACGGCAAACAAAATGTAATTGGCATGAGCCCCCAACCCCCAAATCTCACATCTCAGTCCCAACCCTAAAAGGACAGGCCCCCACACACTACCTGCACCCACCCCCCTCACAATTCACATCTGACACACACCCCACACTCACACCCCCCACTCACACACACACACACACACACACATTAGATGAATAAGCTGAGCAGAACCAATCAGCCCACCTCTCTAAGCCACACTTGGCAGATTAGGCCCAGGTCCATCCTAAATTCTCCATGCCGTTGTGCAGTCCAGGCTCCCTGGCCACCCTTGGAGCTCTACCCCACAGTCCCCTGCAGCCTGAGCCTCCTCTGGGCTCCTAGATCAGACCCCACCCTAGCCGATGCCCTGTGCATCCTGTAAGCGGTCCAGCTGCGGTGAGGAATGAGTTTGGCCAGACCGGAGACAGCATAGCCAAGCAGGACATGTCTTTCTAGTAGCCTGACTCCCTGGGTGTGCTCTGGTAGAAAGATCTGGGGGACCCCTCCCACCGAGCACCCTAGGGGCCATCTTTGCCCCTCTCCTCGGAAGCCCTCCCTTTTGGGGGACTCCCAGGAGATGGACATGGATGGTGGGAGAGTGGGAAGTCTGGCGGTTTGGAGGGGCGGGTGGGGGGCAGTGGGGGCCCGGTGGAGGAGCCCCTGGAGAGGAGGTGGCCCAGGGAGATTTTCGGATGACGTGTCAGGAGGAGGCACAGGAAAGCTTGCAGAGTTACAGAGAGAGAGATTGGAGTCCAAATTTGAAGTCAGTTGATTCTTCCCCCTTTGTTTCTTGGGGCATCTTTCCTTTTTTTTTTTTTTTGTTCTTTTTTTTGATCCCTCCTTAGCTTTTTCGCGCTCATGAAACCCATCCCCAGTAACAGGGGAGCAGGACCCAAGGACGGAAGCGCAACCTCACCACCACCGTCACCACCCCGTCCTGCTCTCCGCCATTTATCGCCCTTGATTTGTTTTTTGTTTTGAGTCTGTCCTGTCGCTTGGGTTGAGTCGGGAGTGGAGTCCCTCTGGGGTGCGACCACCACCCCACGGGGGAATCGAGGGGAGGGAGAAGGCCGCAACCGGCCGGCTTCCCAGGAGGGTGGCAAGTCCTGGGAGGTTCTGAGGGGCGGAGGGGAGGGGCAGCGGTGCCTCCCAGGTGTCAGGAGGGTGCTCGGAGGTCACCGAGAAGGGGCCCCCAGCTGGCCCCGCCGGCTGGGGGGGAAGGGGCTCGGGAAGTGTAGGCAGAGAGGCTCCATCAGGCGGGAGCAGAGGTGGCCGCCTTCCGCACACCTGGGGGGTGCTCCCCCCTCCCTCAGCAACACCGGACCCACTCCTCAGCACCCCACGTTGCCCCCAGGAGGTCTGGAGCTCTGGGGGCCTCCTGTGAACGAGGTGGGGTGAGGCCGGGAGTCGGGGAGGCTAGCGGTCTTGGAGTCCACAGAGCAGGAGAGCTGCCGTCCAGGGGGTCGCTTGGGCCCTGAGGCCTGCGGGTCTGGCAATGCCTGGCAGCCACCGCCACGGTGCCTAGGGCTGTGCGGGGACCAGGGCGGCTGGAGGTTTACCTCACCCCCACTTTCTGCTTCCAGTGCAGCCCCCCTGCAGTGGCAGCCCGACTAGCAGTCTAGAGGCCGATGCTTTTGGGCCCTGGTGACAGGATTGGCATGACCCAGGGGGCGGTCCGTGCCAGTCCGACCACAGCACAGGGGTCGCACCGCCGTGTTCCCGCAATGGGCATTCGGAACATTGGACACAAACCCAAATTGCAAATTGTTGTCATTAGAGAGTATACAGAGATTTGGCCTGAGATCCAAACCCCAAACCTGAGAGGCACCCCAGATTGCCCGCCCATTCGGCTGGACACCCACCCAGTTCTACCGTGCTGCCTCTCGGGTGGGTGTCCGGGAGCACTGGTGGAAGATCACTCTGTGTCCCCAGCTTTGTAGCTCTCCCCATGGTCACGTCCCACCCTGACCTGGACACCTGCCTAGCCTCCCGTGCCTAGTGTGGTCCTCCATCTTGTCTCCCTCCCCCCACTGTCTTCGGGGGACCCCCCTCTTGGGTCCCCCTCCTTACCATCGACTGAAGACCTCCCACGCGCAGAACACCTTGGCTCCGTGCCACTGCCCCTGACCATCTCCGCAGTGGCCCACGTGTTTACCCCGTCTCAGCCCCTTTAACATGCTGTTTTCTGACAATACCCAACGCTTGGGTTTTGTCTTTAACCTGTTAATGCTTGCAATCCTAATAAAGTAATTAAAATTTTACTTTTTGAGTCCTTCATTCCTTTTCTTGGGTACTGAAGGGAGGGAGGGAGGGAGGGAGGGAAAGAGGAAGAAAGGAAGTGGGGGAGGGGGAGGGCAGAGGGAGAGCTGACCAGTCTCCATCTCTGGGCAGGTTGGGCAGGGGGCAGGAAGTGGACACTCAGCGCGTCTGGGATAGGAACTCAGGGCAGTGCTCCCCGGAGGAGCCAGAGTGTGGGAGACAACTTCAGCCCCCAAGTCCTCAACCATCCCGGTGTGGGGGCTGGGGGCCGGCTGCACCAGAAGGGGTGGGACCAGGGGACGTGGGGTGAGGCGTGGCTTCTGCACACCCGATCACCCCCGTCCCCTCCCAGAGCTGCAGATACAGGGTGAGCCGCGCTGGTCCTGTACCTTCCTGCCCAGTGGCTCTTACCAGCACCTGACTTTGAGGTCTCTGAGCCCAGGAGGGGGGCCAGGCTGCCCCCCCATACAGGAAGCCTGACTGCTCCCTTCAACGCTCCTGTTCTAACTCCTCAGCAAGCAGCCCCTGCCCCCACGGTGGTGAGCCAGGCTGGGACCCAAGGGGCAGAACCAGCCTGTGGGGCCAGGAAGCCGATGGTGGGTGGCAGGGCAGGAAGGGGGTGCGGCCTGCTCTGGGGAGGCCTCTCACCCCAGCACCTGGAGGTCCCACCCTTTCTCAGATCTGTTATTGACTCACGCCTACCCTTTATCGATAGCTGGGCCGTGGGCGGTGACCGTGGCCTCCAGAAATCTGCCCAACACTGCCCACGAAGTCCGAGGGTGAGCAGTGGCTAAGGGGCTTCTGAATGAGCCTGGGTTGGCTGGGAGGAAGAGGGCCAGGGCCTGGAAACAGTAAACGGGGTGTGTGGAGTTTCTGCTCTGGCCAGGGGTCTGGGGCCCAGCTGTACAAGTCCCCAGAGTGGGCAAGGCCCGGGGGGCTCCCCACGGAGCTCCTCTGAGCACCATGACTCTGCTGTGGCTGAGGCCCAGCCCTGTCCACTTCCTGAGGCCAGGAGAGGTTTCTTTCCCGCCAGTTCCACCCGGAACCTCTTCTGGAGGCCACAACGGCCTTCCCCTGTCCCATCCCCCTCCCTCACCCCTGTGGGGCCCCAGTCCCTCCCAGAGCTGGGGTCAGTCACTGGCCTTTTCCAGGCTGCCAGGCCAGGCCACCTCAGCAAGCTCTCTGTACCCCATGTTTGTCCAGTGCGCTAACACCACTGGGGCTCCCGCGGCAGTCTCATCCGTGAGACGGTTAGCTCCTCTACACTTCTCCAAGGCCTCTGTGACCTCCTACAATCCTGGCCTAACCCAGTCCTTTGCCCATCTTCGGGGTTAGGACCCATCTCAGCACCGCAGGGAGTGCCCAGCCCCTGCCCTGCTCTCCCAGGCCAGACTCAGACCCCCTGGTCTCAGGACCAGTCCACGTCCTTTCCCTTCCTCTCCCAGTGCTGCAAATGCTGCCACTTCTCCCTCCATCTATCTACCACAATCTATGCAACGCCATTCAGCCAGCCAGCCACCCACATACCACCCCCCAACCACCATCTGCTCAGCAAGCCATTCATCTTCCAGCGTAGCTTCCTATAGCACATACCCTACCACATACCTACACACAACGTATCATAGCACGAATGGATCTACCCACCACACATCCATCCACCCAACCAACCATCCACCCATCCATCCATACATCCATTCATCCACACATCCACTCACACACCCATCCACCCACCCATCCATTCACACATCCACCCATCCACACATCCATCCACTGGCCCACTTATCCACCCATCTACCCACACATCCACTCACACATCTACCTACCCATCCACACACACACACACACCCATCCACCCACCCATCTACCCATCCATCCATCCAC